ATCCCACTGTGCAAATAGTAAATGTTACATGTTAGATACATAACATTGTATGTTTCACATCCTATATAGAAATCCTCCTTTCTTCTATATAATAGCTCAGAAATGTAGCAAAAATATTTCTGTTATATTTCTATGATGTAGAAAAAAGGTTTCTGCATAGGACGTTAAACATATATGTTATGTATCTAACATGTAACGTTTACTATTTGTACAGTGAGATACTCATTCAAGCTTATGTATATTTATCAGATATCCACTGTGGTAAAACTGAAAAAAAACTCCTCCTCACTGATGTGGCGGAAATTTAGTCATATTGACACATATAAATTTATTATGAAAGAAAAAATTGGTCTGTAAAAATAGATATTAATAGTTACAGTTGACCAATATGACAAGTTCCCACTGTGCAAATAGTAAACGTTAGATAGAACATACGTAATATATATATTTAATATTCTACTCGGAAACGTTCTTCTACATAGGCCGCGTTCCGTTTCATGCATATGCACGCATTTATCTATAGTTCGTGTTACGTATATTGTAGGCAATTCGCGCATAATGCGTGAAACGGAACGCAACCATAATAGCGCAGAAATGTAGCAGAAATATTTTTGCTACATTTCTGAACTATTGTGTAGAAAAAATATTTCTGAGTAGGACATTAAACATATATGTTACGTATCTAATATGTAACGTTTATACAGTAGGTATATTCTATGAAAGTTAGAATTAAAATTTGTACGTATCTTTATCCTGCAGGTGGATTATAATTTTCGTAATAAAATTCGCAGCATAAATTCACTCGTAGCGGAAATTCACACGTTCCAACTCACGGTAGTAATAGTTGAACTCGGACAATTGAACTCGAACAATTGAACTCGGATAATTGAACTCGGAAAAGTATTAGTCTGTTCTTTTTAGTTGCACTGCTGAACCAGTGCAATAAATTACAAAGAGAAAAAAATATATGTATTTTGTTTTAACTTATTGCGTCAATTCAACAGTTGTTGTTTACTGGTCAACAGTTGTTGTTTACTGGTCACCAGTTCAACAGTGGGTGCGTTCAGCAGAGAAAACTTCTCCGCTACAGCTATGTAGCAAACGTCTACGATTGAAGTATTCTTTTATATGTATCAAAAATCTAAAAGATTACTTCAATCGTAGGCGTTCGCTATGTAGCGGTAGTGAAGCAGTTTTCTCTGCTGAACGCA